TACACACTGTATGACTTCACTTGACAGTCTGAGAGCAACTTATAACATGAAAATGATGTAGGGACCCTGAGTATGTCTTGTGTTGTGATCTCTTAATTTTCCTTTGGACCCTTTAATTCCTCACTGTGAGTTTTGTATTATGGAAATACAAACCATCATAGACCAACAGTATGACTTCTGCAAATATCCCTTTGCAGTTTTTTTTTTTTTGTTCTTGTAGTTTTGTACTAGGTGGCATTTTCTCTTCATGATAGAGGTGAAAGAAACTCCTTTAAACCCATTTCCACCGACCAACAAGAACTCAGTATAGTGAGCGGACACAACGTCCACACAGCTAATTATGGCACGATTGTTGTAGAGAAATAGGAACATGTGTGGAAATACAGATTTTAACTGCGTTGTTGTCTTCTATTTTGGTCACTGAATTTGTAAATGAAGAGAAAAGACAACTGCAGAGAAGCTGAGATGATTGGTTTATCTTCTCACTGAAGACAAAAGGACAAGATCGTCCAAAACATGACTGACATGATCACCCCGTAGGTGGTTATTACCTGTCAAATGTGCCTCTTATGTATTTATGTACATGTGTGTAAAATGAACAGGCTATGCTCCATGTTATTGTTCTCTGTCCAGTTTTATTGCCTCACGTCATGTCTCACTGATTGTTTTCGCACCACTTCTGCTCTGTTCGGTTTGTTTTTCTAAGGATGATAGACTGTTAAGCAGTCCCATGATTCTGCACTGTGTCTGTCTCAAAATGACGTGGATCTTAAATCCATGTGTTTTTTTGTATTTGCAGTTTGCATGTTCTTAATCATCAGATTGTGCATATTCTGTTTTTGTTTCGTCTATCATTAAACAAATGTTAGGAACTAGATGACTCTCCTGGCTGTTTGATCTGAAGAGTCAGATACATAAAAAGTGAATGATGCAGACTATCAAAACCAAATGAGCAGATATCTCTGACACTGACTGAAGCCTCTTGAAGACAGTCAGCTTTGTCTTTCCTTTTTTTTTTTTCAGCCTTTGATTGAATTTTTTCCCCCTCTTTTCTCTTGTCATACTTAGCTTGTCATTTACTTCAATAAATCTAAGTGAACTTGGTCTGTGATCATGTGCCAAACAGCACACAAAATCCATATTTTTAATCTATAAATGAGTCAAGCATACACTTAAAATGTTCATTGTATTATTTTCCATTTAGTTCTACTTTAATGTAGTGTTTCTACAAGCTCCAGCCCCTTTCAAAGCATGCTGCACTGTTTTGAAGATATTTGAATTATTTTTCTCTCACATTTCAGGTAGCCATTGGTATCCACTTATGAGTAGAGTCGGGACCTTGGAGAGATTTTTAAACTTGCTAGTGTTAGGTAATGCATCAATTTGTCTTTCCTTGTTATGTCGCTAATCTATTGCACAGTCCTTTGAGTAACTAGAAACTTTCAGCTTCTGCTTCTGCACAAGCAGAAGATAAATTGCGTTGCTGCTTTGAGTTTGTATGAAGAAGCAATTGAAGTAGTATGAAGAGATGCAAAAAAGGGAAAAAGGGGTGAAGAATACAAACTGTATTGATAGCAGTGAAAAAACACCTGCTACATGTCAACACCCTTCACAATAGAAGATGACAGGAGCCTCCACATTGGAATATACAGGAACCCCACCCACACAGACCAGTACCTACTCTTTGACTCTCACCACACGCTGGAACACAAGCTGGGAAATATCAGAACCCTGTAACACCGAGCTGATAACGTGCCAACAATTGTCCAGGCACAAGAGAGGAAACACAGACACCTGAAGGATGCACTTAAAGCCTGTGGATACCCTGACTGGACCATTGTGAAATCAGCCACAAGATCCAGGAAGAAGAAAGAACTGTTCATTCATATGACTCTGGCAAACACTTGGATCGAGTCTGGCCCAAGAGATCCGGTGTACTGATGAGTTTTGCCGCTTTGTCTCATGAACACACAGGAAAGATTAAACCCGTCCAAGTCCAGCAAAAAACATCAGCCCAAGTGACACAAAATCCATAAACTTATGCTGCGGGTGAAGGAATGTTCAAAGTTCATAAGCTGCAGCAAAAATTCATAAACTGCAGCTGTAAGTGAAGATGAACTGCAAGTAAAAGACCAACAGCAGCTGTGTATGAAGTTCAAGTCACTAATGAATAATAACCACACAACATTCATAAACATACAGTTCATTCATTTGAAAGCAATTATGACTAAATAAAAGGCTTAAATGTCACATACAGTATGTTATTCCTGCCCAAGAACAGTGATGTCTGTATTATCTGTCCTAAAGCTAAAAATCAGAGAATCATCAAATGGGCTACTTAACACAAGGGGCACTGACATTGTGAAGTGTCAGCAGCATATTCCACTAAGATATTGATTAAATGTCATGTGGGACAAATGGCAATGTGCTAACCCTATGATCTGCAGTAGCTGTGTAGTATTCCCCCGAACAGGTCTCATCCAGATTTTAAATTGAACATAAAGTTTGAAGATTTGAAACGATCGTTATGGTGTAAGAAATTACACAAAAATTTTATAGCCTCACAGCATCAACGCCCCATTCATTGTTATAGAGCAAACTTGGATGGCATGACCCTTTGGTTTCTAACTTTAGTGGAGAGTGCCCCATGCTCACAAATGTTAACCAATCTGTTCTGGGACACAGGAATTAGAAATGTGAATTCTTAAAAAGGGTTGAATTTTCCTTTAAATGCACAACCCATGATTGCAATGTAGTATTCCGTCCTCGAAGCATTCTCAAACAGACTAATATTATAAATGTTAAAATCATTATAGCAGCCTATAGAGGACTTTATTCAAATGGTCATCTAAACTGGAGAATTAAAATGTGATTTTTTTTTATACATGTATGAGTTCTACGATTACACTGCACTTGACCTAATGAATATGAACAAAGCAGTAGAAGCCGTCCACAGGTTTAACTTCCGCTTGCAGTCAGTCACAGCTGAGTGGTTACAGTTGAGTGGTTATATTTCGACAAAAGAAAGAAATAGTACGTATGTGTCATTCATGTGATTTTTTTTTATGAGTGTCCGCTCTTACCACCAGATGGCGCTGTTACACAACACATCTGTCATACCTCGTTGGATTTCTAGTAATTCTGATAGGATATAGCAGAAGACCGTGTTCGTGCAAGGACTATCCTGCATGTTTGGTGCAGGCAAGTGTGGGTTTAAAACTGAGCTTGAACGCATCATCTGGTGTTTCATTCAACCCCAACACATCGTTTACCGCAAGTCATCGAGGGATTTGTTTCACTATTGGATAAGATAACACATATACCATATGTATTGGTCTTGTTGACGTTTTTGTAGGCTACTAGTAGAATTTGCACTTGAAGAGTGACTGTTTATTAAAAGCTACAGTAGAAAACACGGCGGAGTAGGAAATGGGGCGTCTGTCTATGCACTGTTGACGTTAATTCCTATGGATCAGGAAGGTCCTGTCAACTGATCCAAAGACTGTGCAGAGAAACATAGAGGGATCACTCTTTCCTAGTTTCCGTCGTCGGTTCATCCGAAACCAAGTCATAGCAGTGAAATTACAAATCAGACATTTGCCTCAAAGAGCTTTACAATCTTTAGAGCCTCATAGTTAGACCCTCAATTTGAAAAGCGAAAAGCTCTGCACAAATAAAACCGTTAAAAAGGTTTTTCAGGAGATCAGATTCTTATATGCATATGGATACAAAGCACAGAAGCGTGTTCATAATTTCTCTGTATTAACAATTATTTAATATAGTATGCTATAGAGAACCGAAGTCTTACCCCACAAAGTTTCCCTTTGAGCACACCCAGCAATCCGTTGGCCAAAACAAAAAAGACTAAATTTGTTTTAACACAAAATATATTAACATATAAATCCACCTCACAAGTGCTCATGAAACAGCATAGCTTACATCAGAGACATCATATAATAAAATCTTGAGTATGTCCGGCAGTCATCAAATTCAGCCATCAGTGCTTTAAACATCATCACCATCATCACCAGCCCACCACTACTAATATTTAAGACTGATCACATTTAGACTCATCCTGAGCATTGATCAAATAAACTTCCTACATATTATCTAAAAGTATATTTAAAAGTAGTTGAAATGAAATTTACTGAGTCTAAGCATATTGTAATAAGCGTATAAATTACCCACCATATATGCGCACATTAGCTATACTCTGTTAATATTGACTCCACTCAAAATTTTCAGCTTTTCAGACTGAGCAATGAATGAAACATTGAATGTCGAATATTGAAACTAAATTCAAAAGTGGGGAGGCACTTTTTACAGAAGTCAAATTTTATCAAATGTTTTAAAATCCTTATTCAGAAAAAAATAATAGGAGAACAGTTTTTGTCCTTTCTTGTAATATTTCAACTATTTTAGCTATGTTTATTAGGTGAGGCCTAGATATTTGACATATTTGACAAAAAAACAAGTTAAAACATTAGTAGTGATGTGATTTGACAAAAATAATCTCAATTCAATGTCAACAGTTTCCAGTTTTTTTTTTTTTTTTTAGCTTTCAACTGCTTTCATAAGCAGATGGAGTTTGAAATGGGGGTTGAATGTCTAGAAAAGACTAGAACGTGTGTGTATAAATATACAGAAGGACTACTCAGCTCAGAGACATTTGGCCTTTTAAATGTAAATTTGGATTTAGGAATATAAAACTTGGACAGAATAAATAAATAAAATAAAATTAAAGCAAGAATTCCTGTCATAATAAGTGATTCAGAACAATACACGTTCCAATAGTAATACAAATGGACGATATGTGTGATCTAAAAATCACACATAAAACCCTTATCAGAGGGTGGTACACGTTTTGTTTTAAGATGGTTTTGTAAGTGACACATAATTTCCATAAACCCACAGAAGCGGGGCACATGCGCGCTGGATGGTGATCCCTCCTCCCGGCATAGACGATCTCTGTATCTGTAGTACGTGCGGTGAAGAAAAAGCTCTTCTCCCACTGGCTGTTATGACCTAACCAGCTCCCGGACGACACTCTTGCTTTCACCGCTGACCGCTGCGTCTGAAACAGTTTGTTTAGAGCGTTTTTTGGGCACTCTTACATTCAGCATAAGGTCGTTTATGGTTGCACTGCCGCGACTTTTCACTCGTAGCTGCTGGCCTCTGAGGCTAGCTGGCTAGCAGAGCAGTGACAGAGTGGAGCCAGCTGGTCGGACCGAGGCACAGAAACGTTAGCAAACAAGCTAATTAGCCAGAAAGACTCAGCCTGGATTATTGTCTTTAATCAAAGAGATAGAGAGAGAGAGAGAGAGCAAGTCTGCTCGGTCAGTCACTGCGGCAAAATGAAGATAACTGTGGATTTCGAGGAGTGTTTGAAGGACTCCCCACGTTTCAGGTGAGTGCTGACAGCCTGGCTTTTGTCCCCCTTTAGTTATTCATTTATCACAGGGAAGAAATATCCAGCTAGCTGCTTTAAGCTAATCAGCAGTAACTAGCTAGCTGTTTGCTGCCTGCTACTTTTCTATTTTTGTCTGTAAGAAAGCTGGGGCCAGTCGGGAGGCTGCCTGATGGGGTTAGGAAACCAAACATAAACTCACTGACCAGTGTGGTGAGCGCATATGTGCATTATCAGGCTGTACCAGCGCCCTTTTTTCTGTGTATAAATTATGTAAACATGGAAATATATTAAATATGAATGCGGGAAGTAACCTTCACTGGCCATTGTTTAACATTTCAAGCATACAGAAGGACTGTTGGACAATTAACACCCTGATGCAGATCCAGTGGCTCTGTCAAATTCCCCAACTCCCCAATACATTTTATTGTGTTATATACCTCTGCACTGTATTACATATCTGGAATGATTTACTCTTGCTGGTGTTCTATTGGCAGGACAGGGAACTACTTGTCTCCCACCAGCCACAGTAGCCGGTTCATCCAAAAAATTGCAAAGCAATCTACAAAGTCAGTGTGTCACCTACCGGTATTCATTTAGTTGAGGGGAGCACCTCTCAGGACTGCAGCTAACGGTTTTCATGTCAATTAGTCTGTCAGCTATTCTCTCAATCAATCAATTAATTGTTTGAGCTATAAAATGGTAAATAATGGCCATTGTAATTTCAAAGCACAAGTTGACATGTTTGTATTGTCCAATAGGGCTGCAACCAATGGTTGTTTTTTATTATTGATTGATTTGTCCATTAATGTTTTGATTTAATGTAAAAAATGGTTTTAAAAAAGAAAATGCTCATCACATCTTTGTTTTATTTTCTCAAAAGTCCGAAATACTCAGTTTACCATGAGATATGGCAACGGAAAGCAGGAAATTCTTTTTGCACATTGTTCCACTGTTTTTGCTTCAAAAAATAAATGACATGATTAATTTATCATCAGAAATGTTACAGATTACTTTTCAGTCAATCGACTAATTGATTAATCGACCAATTATTTCAGCTCCTTTGTCCAACCAACAGTCCACCAAAACTTTTACCACCATAACATTTTTTTGTCTTTTTAAATGTGAAAAACATTCATGTTGGAGAAGTTGAAATCAATGAACTATTGGTATAATTGCTTCTACCATCAGCTGATTATAAAAATAGTTGCTAAGTGTTTAGCTTAGCTTAGAACCTCTGAGTAATGGCTGGATCCACTCCAAAGTGTAAATGAGCTCTTCAGCAGTTTTGTCAGGTGGTGGGTGTTCATGTGATGTATTCCTGGCAGCGGTGTCACTTCTGACATCATCACTCACAACCTCTTTTTTTTTTCCAGTCCGTCCAGCCCTTAAAGTTGTGTAAAATGAGATGTTTGCTCTCAACTTCCTCCTCACTCAATTTGCGTTTTCCAGAGATTTGATAAAGCGCCTCCCTCCTTCCTCCCTCAGCCCACGCTCCCTCTGCTGCTGCTGCTGTAACATCCTCTCTCACAAAAATGAGGAACAGATGTTAGAAAGTTGTTTTCAGAAGAATGGAGCATGTTTTTTTAAAAATCAGAGCATTTCCTTTAGGAGCGCATTCAGGACTTTGAATAAAGGAAAACTTTCCAGTCAGCTGTGTTACTTGAAGATGGCTGGTTCAACATTGTGGTGATAAACATCCATGTCTGTTACCAAGAAGGCCGGGGTATGAGGACATTGTTATAGAATGTATACAAGTAAATTTAGCTGAACAATATAATTGGTCTATTATGTCCAAGTATTTCTGAGAACTGTGGCAGCTGATTGGTATGCTTGTTGTTGCTGCAACTGACGTTTATTTTCATTATCATATTCATCATTGGGTCTGCTAAGTTTCTGTCTTTCCTCCTTTCCATCATCACCGTCATCATACATACACTGACTTTTGATTGATTGTGGATAACAGAGAGCGCTGGGTCATTGCAGAAACTTTGAAGTTGTCTGTGTCAGTAACAAACAAAGCAAGGAAACTACTTCAGCTGGACCGCAGACAGAGGTTGTGGTGAACAAGCATTGTTTTACTGCAACTGAAACCTTTAACCACTGACTTTCAGGCCGCAAATGAAACCATTTTCCTATAGACTTCAAAAGATATCTCTTCCAGGTTGAAAGTCGGTCATTTATGTATGGAGTGTCATTTCTGATTATTAATAAATAAAGAGTAAATGACCAACAGCCAGCTGTAAAGACTTTATTGAATTCGGGAGACTTCTAAATGTCAACACCAGCACTGTCGGCTGGATGACTCAGTCAGATAATTCATTTCTGCAACAATATTGCAGAAATGTCATAACGCCCAGCATTACTCACACAGGTGTTTTCACTTATTTTACGTAATTAGACCTCTCCTGGGGATTCTGGCACAGGTGTACAAACGGTGCTTGATTAACATTCCCCTGACCTTCCTGTAACTGAAGTTGGACCTTCATCATTCTTATTGGTTTAGAAAGCTTGTTGACCTCACATAATTTAAATTTCCCCTAGGGGATAAATAAAATAAAGTATCTATCTATCTATTGATCTATCTATCTATAACATAGTTCCACCCATCCAACCAGAATAGAAGGTCAAAGTAGTTTGAATAAATGAAAACTGTGTAAAAAGCATATGTGCAGCCACAAACATGAAATGTGCTTGTCAGATTATTGTTATTATAACAACTTTGACCTTTATTACTGAAGTCCCTTTTCCTCTCCTTTCTGTTCTTAATGTCTACCTATCTCACCCATCAACTATTTTCTGCCTTTTGTATGAATTGAAAATGAATGAGAGTCATAAATACTGCTAGCACTGTTATAGCACAAAATGTACAATTTGGAAAAGCAACCACAATACTGGTGTGTGATATTTTTGTCAGTGTTTTGCTCAGTCCTGTAGTTTTATGGACAACAAACATTATACCTGTGCACCATCTGAATATCAGTATTATGAGCACTCTCCGATCTCTGTTTAATCACTTTAGTCTGACTAGAAGCCACTTCCCATGATCCTCTGCTGCTAGGTGTCACAATTAAGCACAAAGCCCCATCTCTATCTATTATTATTATTATTAGTGACCTTTGCTCTTTGGGAGGGTCATCTGTCAATGTTTCCTGGCTTTTAAGTCTGCTGTGGGTTCATCCTGAAGGGTTGGGACTGATCTGAGCTTTTCACAGCACAGTTTTCCACTTCGACCACCATCGCTTTACTGTCATTTTTCCAACCCCCACTCATTATGTTTAGCCAGAGAGGAGGACAGAGCGGGAGAGAATGGATGAAAACATAGAATATACACCAGCATGGAGCAGCTCTCACTCGCTCAACATCTGTTTCCATTTTGGTGTTTGCTTTCAACTTTGTGCCAGAGAATATGGAGCCCCCAAATGTGGACAGGGTTGTTTTCAAGTGGTAATTTGGCACACCCCACATTTTTTATTTATTTTTTGCTCTCATCCTCATTTTAGTTGGGAAGCTGTCTTTGGTCATAAACCATGCTTTCAGCCTGGAGGAGCGATGCACTAGTGCAAAAATTATGTATTTTTGGCAGTAAACCCTACTAGCCTAGTTTTCCACTTGAGAGTAGACATTAGACTCAGCCTCGAGAGCTTTTTTGGCTTCTCTTCAACTATGAAAGTTGAAAATTCCCTTCAGAGGACTGTGGCTTTTCTCCCCACATGTATTTAAGAACAAATGTTGCTACATATTTTATATGCCTTTCTATCCTGCAAGGTCCCAATGGAGGCTAATATCTGCAGTATATTTTTCATATTAAATTAGCAATGTCATGGTTGTATTGGTAGTTTAAGAGCAATAATAAAGACCATTTGAGATTTGTTTGACCTATTTTCTGTCCAATTGCCTGAAAGTTTGAACATCTGCGGTGCTGAGATGAGATGGTATCCGGTTTTAAATAGGGCATGCAAGAAAGTGTAACATCAAGAGATTAAAAAACAAAATGTCAAGAGAAATAGAGATATATTTTTATACCTATAGTCAACATGAACTGCCCAGAATTGAGCTAATTTCTGTAATTAGCAGCAACAGTTATGTCTTAATTCTAATCTTAATCATTATTACATGATCGCTGGCCCCTGATTGGTTTTGCTGATTGTGAGCTTGGCTGAGCGCCATGATATGAAGTCATTGGTCCAACAGCCCCTGCTGTAGTTTCCCCTGAGTCACTGACAGCAGCTGTAGCGCCAGCAGATCACTGACAGTCTCTGCTAATACACAGCCAAGGGCCTGATGAGCAGTGCTCATACTGCGATACACCCCGATTAGTTTCCCGTGGGAATCCTGCAGGCTTGTTAGCATGCTGGGGTTGTTGCAGTTTGATTTAATTGCTCTGCAATCCATTTCCTTTTTAATGGTTATTAAGAAAGGAAATGCACAGCTAATGAAATGTGAGGACTAACACTGCTCTATTTGTAATGCAGTAATACTATGGGAAGCAGTATTTCAGTAAGGTTAGGGCAGCAGAGTCAATAAAATATAATAAAATAAGTACCATTATTTTATCAGAACTGTGGCAGCTCAAAGAAAATGTAGTTTATTGTTATGTTGAAGTTAGAGCTGAAACATGTCAGTTATAAGCAATTAGTTGACCGGCAGAAAATCAATCTTCAACTATTTTGATGATCTGTTAATCATTCAAGTTATTTTTCAAGCACAAAACAAAAATTCTCAGATCCGTTTCTCAAATAGGAGGAATCTCTAGCCTGTCAGTCACAATCACTCCTCAGGTTTTTCTGCAGATACTGAAAAATACTGTAGTTGTGACTCCCACCCTCTCCTCAGTATGTTTCCTTCCTACGGCTTGTTTATGATGTAAGAAGGCTGAGGATGTACACTAAATGCACAATCGGCCATAATATTCATTCATCAAAACCCCAGGCAGAATTTCCCAAAGCCTGCGTAAGTGTTTATCTTTAAGTAATGACCTCATCTTGTTGATGTTGTTG